ATATTTTCAGTGGCAGTCAATATGGTAGAATTATAGAACCTTAAAATTAAAAGGTGGTGAAAAAAAAAATAATAATAAATAAATAAATAAAACAATGAAAACGAAGTGATTACCTACATAGTCTCAAAAGAAATTTACAAAACTTGAGCTTTGAAACATACTCGACTTTTGAAACTAAAGCAAAAACATAATCAAGGGTATTTAGGGTTAGGGTTAGGGTTAGGGTTAGGTGAACGTTTACTCGCCCTGAGATATGATATCTTAAAAGCGTTTGATGACTTGGAGAAAGTTGAAATAAATTCATAAAATATAAGAAGTCTTTTGTTGTGATATAAGTTGTGTGTAAGTTGTGTGTGTGTGTGTGTGTGTAAATAAACGCCAGCCATAAACACAACAAACAAGTAGAAACCATGAAGGGGGTAATAACCGTCCCGGCTGTTGACACGTGTTGTATCTCTTTATATTAAGACGAGTAGAATTCGACATCCACCAGGCCTATTCAACAAAGCTTTTATACGGTCAACATGTTTAAACATGACTTTTAAAAAATCGATAGTAAAGGCGCGTGAGTTGGATTAGACAATGGGGTAGGGCACCTGCCTTTGTGTATGACGCGAGTAGCGGCACACAAAAGGACATGCTCACACAGACGTCAGACAAAGGGAGAATGAGATTGCAACACACAAAAGGGAAGGGGTACCACCTGCTACCACCTCCCCCCACCCGCGTCACCCCCACCCACACCCTCACTGGAGGGTGGGGAAATACTATTTTACTATATACTGTTAAAGCCGGACTGTCGTCCAGGTCAATAAAAACAACCAATAACTGGTCAACAAGTGGACAATTGGTCAATTGGTCAACTGGTCAACAACTGGTCAGTTGGTCAACTGGTAAACAAATGTATAACTTTATTTTAACCGTTAATAAAAGAACTGGTCAATTGGTCAACTACTAGGTACCCTAACCCTCAATACAAACAAATCAATAGGGGAATCCACCTCCACCTCCACCTCTGACCAACACGTGGTCAGTTGGTCAAGTGGTCAACATACCGATCAATACAATACCCTACTAATCAAAACAATCAACAGTTGGTTAATGAACAATCAACAACGGGTTAAAAATAATCAACAGGTGGGCAAAAAACAGGAAGAAAAATCAACAGGTGGTCGAAAATAAATCAATAACGGTCAAAATATGCAACAGATGGGCAAAAATCAATCAATAACGGTCAAAAAATGCAACAGTTGTCCACTCCACCTCCACCTCAATATGCAACAGTTGTCCCACCTCCACCTCCACCTCCACCACCTCCACCACCTCCACCTCAATGATACCCAAAGGGGACCTACTATACTACTCGCATGAGATGTCACGATATCCCCACGAGGGCCGGCAACTCTCAACAAGCTAGTACCAATAGTATTGATAGGAAAATAAGGGAGGTAATACGTCAGTAGGTTCCCTCGCGTTACTTCCCTTGTCGCGTGAGAGCCGGTTTTCCCCGCGATGACGGAGATCGTTGTGGACACCCTATCTGGATCGTGGTAATCTATTGACTTTTTTTTCTCTCACTAGGAGTTATCGGCCCTTTCGTCACGTATTCGGTGTACATTTTATGCCTATTAAAAATAAAAACCTGATACATTTTTCACGTGTTTTTAAAGCATTGTAATAAACAAGATTTAAGAGATGGCGTTATAACCCATCATTTTACATAATTTATCAACACATGTTTAAAGATTTATTGACTCCATTGCAAGCTATCATTCTGTCCATCCAATTTTATATCTATTAGTCAGTCATAAATCCATCCTCGTTCCATTTATTCCTTTTTTATAAGCCCGTTCGTCTAATTGTTCGTCCGTTAATTAGTTCGTTCGTCCATCCGTTTGTCTACCCATCTGTTTGTCCATCATTTCCTTCCATCATAAAACCTAATACCATCGTCCTTTTGTAAGTTTTTTTTTGTCCACTCTTAAGATATTTTGTCTGTGCCTCCCAAAGTGTTATTTTGTGTTGATAAAAATATGAGTCTTAGCAACACAAAACACCACATTTTTTAAAATTAAAATATGAGGGCAAATATTTTATTTTAAATACGTTGAAACAGATCAATGATCCACGAAAAGAAAATGCAAATGTGATGACAGATAATATACAGTTATTATAAATTTAAGATTTACTTTTTGTTAAAATTTGTTGCATTTAGAAAATGGAGACATTATAAAAGTATTTAGAAGATGAGAAGAGATTAAAAAAACTCCGTCACATGGGTGCCACATGTCAAACATTTTTTACCCAAGGATACCTAACAAACACAGAAGACACTGAATGATAACTTATTTTAGCTTGCCGTCTATGGTCATCTTAACTCTATCTTAAGCGGTAGACAATATCAACACAAATGAACATTGCCTAGAAAAGATGTTATAATTTTACCCTACTTTAATGAGTGTCGTATGTATAAGAAAAACTTAGTTCACCTTTCAGACCTAGCGATCCATAAGGAAGATGAAGTAGATTTCATATGTTACTTGACATCGGTTTGTGAAGAGATGGTAGGGTTAGCACCATGCCCAGCCGCCTTTACTCTCCCTAACCTGAGTCAGGTACCCAACCGAGCTGGGTGGACTTTGGGGCGTCCCACAGTCACTAGACCAAACCGAGATCCGAACTCGAGATCTTCAGGCAAACAGTCAAGCGCTCTAACACTCGACCACCCCGTCCCAGTATCATTTGTATATTTTAAATATTTTTTAAATTACTACTCCACCCCTTTATGTATATTAAAGCTATCACAACCTTAAGTGTACGATTAACAATTGAGACAAGTTTTTTTTGTAAAAATGTCCCACTACATAACGAGACGATTAAAGCTGAAGGGGAAATAAACCATGAACAGCGGCCTTAACAATGTGTAACGGAACTCATTCATATTGTGGTACCATGTTTCTCTCTGTGCACATTTATTGTTGACATTTGTGTTTCTGCATGCAGCGATCTAAGGACGTAGTGGTAAGATACTTGATATTGCTCAACTGCAAACAGTGAGGGAAATATTTTTAGTAAACGGGAAATTCCGATTTTTAAAACGTAGACGATCTTAAGCATCATTAATGAAATTAAAATTTACATAAGCGCATTATATATATAAAATATTACATATAATACGTTACATATATATATATATATATATATATATATATATATATATATATATATATATATATTTATATATATATATATATAACGTATTATATGTAATAATGATTTTATTTTTTTTTTGTATTAGAAGAGGTTTTTTTACCATTAAATAAGTTAAATAAACTCTAAATACGTTATGACAAATCACCCAGTTTAAATGTCATAACATAATAAAATAAATAAAGCATTTTTATTTAATTTTCTCTTCTAAATTTGACTTAGAAAAATAAATGTCATTTAAATAAATCACGAATCGAAAGATCTAACACACAAAAAATGGTAAAGAGCTTCCCTTGCTGTTTGCCCTCCGCTGATAAATGTGTAAATGGTTGCTGTGTAGAAGAATTTTAAAGACATAAAAACAGATCGAAGGATGTTTTCTTGGAGGTTTGGCAAAAAAACACGGACAGGATGGCGGCAGTGGCGTCACATTTTCTCAGAACATTATACGCTATGTTTGTAAACATTCATTCGCTTTGTGTTAAGTCATTCACTTCATGAGTAAAACTAGCTGTGACGTTATTTACATAAATATTCCTTGTTGTCTGATGTCATGTGATGTCATACTATGTTAACCATCCACATACTGTTATGTATATGTGTTATGTCTTCACGCTTAACAGAAGAAACTGTGTGTGCATGTTTTAGCATGTAATTATTTTCCAATCATGCTTTTTCACAGCAATACACTTTAATGAAAATATTATATTATGTATCCAGGTAATGTGGGAAAATGGAGTACAACTGCAATTCTAAAATCAAGTAGCAACACATCACAGTTTACTGTAAACAAAATGTCATAACAACGAAAAACTATACTTTTGTTAAATTGAAAAATGCATGCCTATGTCTTTTCAAAATCGACGTTGTTTCTGCATAAACATGTCAAATCAAAACTAATGGGTAATTTTTTTCTGAACGGTCTCTTGAAATATCGCTTCCTTGCTATTCATTTTTATTCTTGATTTCTTTTCATTACAATTTACTTCTTTAATTGTAGTTATGGCTTTATAATTCAATAGATCAGCCATTGTCATGTAATCGTATTTATAATTATAATCATACATGCATAATGTATCGTCGTGTTGTATAAAATCATTTATACATATTTCTGCTTTGTGTTTCATATATACGTATATATATATATATATATACATATATATATATATATATATATATATATATATATATATATATATATATATATATATATATATATGCTGTAAACTTGGCCATTGACTTCCAATATATTTATATGTTATCGTCTTTCGGTTTCTGTTGTAAATTATTGTATTTTTTATGGTTTCTACAAAATCAGTCGTATGAAAATTGTAATATTCGACATATTAACGTTTCACATCTTCTTATAGGATATTATTTTAAGGCTATAACTATGTATATGCGAACCTCTCTACCGCATGACTTCATAACAATAAAGACGTAGAGCTTGCATTATTCTATCTTGTGGTTTGTGAATTTAATAATATGTTCTACATCAACCGCACATCATATTTATGATGAAGTTCACGGCCTGTACATTATTACATGGGAAATGTAAATTACTTTCTATCACCCATTGAACAATAGAAAGTCAATATAAATGCCCTAAAGAGATCTGCAAAAAATATCTACACATGTACCAACATTCACTGAATTATGTTCGGACTCAGACTATATGTAGTAAATGTTTATGCTATATATGTGTGCTATTATATCTCTATATGTGTTAATGTATGTTAATGCGTGCATGGATACACATATGTGCTATAATGATATGAATGTTTTCTCAGCTGAGTTCCTTAGAGAAGTTTTGTCGGAACGCTGAAAACCATTGTAACAAAGTTGGGCCCACAGGTAAATCTTGTGCACTGACCAGTAATTTACATGCACTGACCAGTAACTTACATTCACTGACCAGTAACTGACATTCACTGACCAGTAACTTACATTCACTGACCAGTAACTGACATTCACTGACCAGTAATTTACATTCACTGACCAGTAACTTACATTCACTGACCAGTAACTTACATTCACTGACCAGTAACTGACATTCACTGACCAGTAATTTACATTCACTGACCAGTAACTTACATTCACTAACCAGTAACTTACATTCACTGAACAGTAACTTACATTCACTGAACAGTAACTTACATTCACTGACCAGTAAGTGACACTCACTGACCAGTTACTTACATTCACTGACCAGTAAGTGACACTCACTGACCAGTAACTGACATTCACTGACCAGTAACTTACATTCACTGACCAGTAACCGACATTCACTGGCCAGTAACTTACATTCACTGACCAGTAACCGACATCCACTGACCAGTAACTTACTTTCACTGACCAGTAACTTACATTCACTGACCAGTAACCGACATCCACTGACCAGTAACTTACTTTCATAGACACTTAGCTTAAAATACTGTCCGCTATTTTTTTCTGTTAAACACACTGTATCCACAAATCCCTAGTTTTTATCGGATCTCTTAAGAGCATCAATTATGAAGTGTGTTGAATAAAAAAAAAAGCTTATCATCAAAGATTTATGGCCAAGATAGATTAAACAATCCCTGGGCAACTGTAAATTAAATGCACGTAACTATTTTAGCCGAGATTTCTTTAACAGAAGAAAACATATTTTAGGAATTAACCGTGGCGTGTAAGATCACCTGTTTACGTTGTTATGACTTTTTACAGGACCCCCAGGAGCACGAGGACCTAAAGGTGACACAGGAACTAAAGGTACACAATTTTACTTAACGTAGCTGTACACACACGTACACACGCACACACACACACACACATACACGTGTGTGCATACACATTTATTCAAGCTTATTTATTTTACCATACGTAGGTATTTGAACTATGACGGAGAAATAAAGTACACCATATTTTTTTTCTTTATCTCCAGGAGATAAGGGCGACTGCTCCGAGGCGACTGTGGCGTGGAACATGGCGAATTGGGAGAATCAGAGAAGTAAGAGGGCAACATACAACTTTTAATGACGCTAAATAAAGGCATACTTGATTAGAAACTTAGATTTGAAAAATAGCAACATTAAAAAAATGGTTTTAAAATTTTTGATTAAGATTGCTACATTTTTGAGGGACGCTTTTCTTAATTTTTTTCCATTAATATATATATATATATATATATATATATATATATATATATATATATATATATATATATATATATATATATATATATATTTGTTTATAATTTTATTTATTGTATTATTTATTGTGTGTTTGCATTTTAGAGAAAATTTAAATGACCAGTTTTACAACTTTAGACTGATATGCTTAATTTTAAGATAATTTAGACGGCCTTTAATTAAACGAAAATCAAACAATTTAGTGTTTAGAGAAAAATCACACGTTTATTTTTTATTTCTTTGTTGCCTCACATGTATAATAACTACTTTATAACACGTCATCGCAGTCACTGCGAGCGTTAAATAAATAAAACCACTGTAACTTCTGAACCAATTATGATGATTAATTAACTTCTCGAAAAATATATAAAAACATTAAGGGGATATAACCCAATTATGTCAAGAAAGGTAATCGTGTAATAAGTGTAATTAAATTAGTGCAGTTGTCTTGATTCTAATGCAACAAGCAGCTGTTGAACTCATATAGAATTGAATTAGCTACGTTTTTGGAACGAAACAAAAACTATAGATATATTTCGTAGTTTAACAGATCTCCAGGATTAATTAAAAATTTCTTGCACTTCATTTTTTCTCCTTTTCAGTTAGCAAATATATGACAATGTAATGTAATGCTATTAAAACAAAACGTAGCATACAATCGAGAAGTCGTCTTTAAAAATTCTCTGAAATCTTGATTTACCTGTGGATATTAATCGATGTAAGGTGTGAACAAATGAAGCTAATTTAATATCTTTAAGAAATAAAATGCACTCTATCAAGAATAGCAGTGTTGTAATATGATCGTTTTGTGTAGGCAAAGCGTGAAAGAAATGCTGTTTGTTAGAGCACTGATTAGAGTTGTGATAGTATAGGTACATTTGTCAAGCTATTGTAGAGTTGATAGGTTAAAAGAGAACAAGTATATGTACAGTTGTTAAGATCTGGTAGTGTTGATAGATTTAAGGAGAAAAGACACTCCTGTGATGGCATTCTTTCTAAAGAAGAAACGCCTAGTGGGGTTTAAGAAATAAATTAAAGATTACATGATCTTGAACGTGTCAAGAATAGGGCTTGTAAGTCTACGGTCTCGAAATCTACTAGCTGCATAGTACGAGAACGAGAAGTTGTGACCTACTTACAAGCCCTATTATGGGTCGAGATAAGACACACACTATTTTGTCATGTTAGTCTATAAAACGTTTTACAAACATATAGGAAAAGCACAAATTGGAAGAGTAGCACTTTGCTCTTTGTAGGGGCAATGCAAAACCAAATGTTCTACCGGTAAATACTACCTGAAATATCATGATCTATCTGTTTCAGGTAACAGCGGGGTGCCTGGTCCTATGGGACAACCAGGACCACCCGGCCCAGCAGGTCCTCCCGGTCCAGCAGGACCACCAGGACCCGAAGGTCCGGCAGGACCACAAGGTAATCACATTTTATACATCAGTGTTTACATCAGACTTCATCAAGCAGCATCAGTAAACACAGCCCTCTTCGTAATTATAGTCTAATCTATACAGGGTATTAAACGAATTTTTACGCTATCGATTGAAAACAAATATTCAAGCAGAATTATTTGAACATGATATTTTACAAGAATTATTCAACGGCAAACCAGAATAAGTTGGCAGAGAGTGTTTATGTTTTAACATTTGCCAGAGTAATTTGGTAGAGAGTGTGGATGTTTTAACATTTGCCAGAGGGAGTTGGTAGAGAGTGTTGATGTTTTAACATTTGCCAGAGGGAGTTGGTAGAGAGTGTTGATGTTTTAACATTTGCCAGAGGGAGTTGGTAGAGAGTGTTGATGTTTTAACATTTGCATTGTCCATCTGCTGCTGCTCTATGGAACAGGACCTCGAGGAGCCACGGGGGAAAAAGGAAAAATTGGTCTTTTAGGATTTCCTGGGCTTAAAGGCGCACCAGGTTTTCACGTGCATGTGTTTTATCTTCGTGTTTTTTTTACTTCTGTGTTCTAGCAACTCTGTTCTAGCCCTTTATTCTAACCCCATGTTCTAAGTCCCATGTTCTAACCCGGTGTTCAAAGTTACGTGTTCTAAGTCTCATGTTCAAAGTCCATTCATCTAACCCCATGTTCTAAGTCCCATGTTCTAACCCGGTGTTCAAAGTTACGTGTTCGAAGTCTCATGTTCAAAGTCCAATCATCTAACCCCATGTTCTAAGTCCCATGTTCTAACCCGGTGTTCAAAGTTACGTGTTCGAAGTCTCATGTTCAAAGTCCAATCATCTAACCCCATGTTCTAAGTCCCATGTTCTAACCCGGTGTTCAAAGTTACGTGTTCGAAGTCTCATGTTCAAAGTCCAATCATCTAACCCCATGTTCTAAGTCCCATGTTCTAACCCGGTGTTCAAAGTTACATGTTCGAAGTCTCATGTCCAATTTTCTAACCATATGTTCTGTCTCATGTTCTAACCCGGTGTTCAAAGTCCCATGTTCTAACCCGGTGTTCAAAGTTACGTGTTCTAAGTCTCATGTTCAATTTTCTAACCACATGTTCTGTCTCCTGTTTTAACCCGGTGTTCAAAGTCTCATGTTCAAAGTCCAATTTTCTAACCTCATGTTCTAAGTCTCATGTTCTAACCCCTATGTTTTAAATTGTTCTTTCGCCCCATGTTCTAAGTCCCGTGTTCTATCTGTTTAAGGTCCTGTGTTATAATCTCCATGTGTTAACTAACACGTTTGGCAAGATATTTGCATGTTGTGTGTGTGTGGTGGGGGACGTGGGGGGGGGGGCGTGTGTGGGGAGGCCGTTTTTTTTAAAATATTTCTTTTTTTTATAAAGTAGATAGCCTATCTTTCTCATACCGTTTTCACTACCCGCTCACCCACCCGCGTGCTTTAATCAAGCTACCCCCCCCCCCCATTGTATCTGAAAGATATTACACCAGGAGACAAAAGAGATAACAGTTCATCAAGATAAAATTTCTTAATTTCTTTACATGCAGACCGTAGGTGCAGGTTCACGTACTGTTTACAAGCTTTTATTTAATTGATTTCTTTATCGTCGTGGATCAAAACTGACTATCAAAATTTTACCTAATTTTACCGAACCGATTTTTTTCATTTTTTTATGAATACTCATTCAAAATTTTTTGGTGAACATTTTTGTAAGAAAGGAATATAGGGTTTGTATTTGCATACGAGTTGACCTTTTTTGCGTAATTTTGCTAAACTATGAGAAGTGTATGGGGGAGATTTGTCTCACAAAAGTTTTAACATTAGATTCAACCGAAACCTTAAAGATAAAGGTCAAAATATCAGGTCCAATATGTATTAAAAATCAGACACACACACGATAATGGTCAAAATATCATGTCCAATATGTATTAAAAATCAGACACACACACGATTATCAAGAAGAAAAAAAAAACCCAATCACATCCAATCAACGCCTTATCGCGAGCTATCGATCCACAAACACCGATCACAACATTTGACCAGCTTTGTTTCTGTAAGACGGGGAGGGTGGGGGGGGGGGGCGGCAATCGTGAGTTGTTCAACAACAGTTCAAGCAAATACCATCACGTGACAACCGTGTATTACAATCCTGTTTGTCTAGTGGGAGACGTACGGTCGTGTAGAACGATTAAGTGCCACGGAGTGTTGTCTTTTGTCGATAATTAACTTAAGCATGTTTGCCTATTGAAACCTGTCTCGATTTATGCATCGCTCTTTCTTCTTGGATTGTTTGTAAAAATGCATGGCGCACCTGAGGTTAAAAAAATAAGGGTGTGGGGTGGGGAAAGGCGGTGTGTGGGGTGGGGGGGGGAGGGGGAGAACTTCATTAATTTGGACAAATTATGACAAGGTGATGAAAAGTGTTTTATCGAGGCATATCTTCGTCCCCCGCCCCTCCGAATAACGTCTACCCCCCCCCCTCTAAAGAAATATAATTTATATAGAAATGTATACTATTACCAGTGTCCCCCACCCCGGAAAATGTAGTCTCCTCTCCCCCCCCCCCCAAAGTTTCAAGTGCCCCCCCCCCCCCCACCCCGAGAAAAATTCTAAAAGAAACACTGGTGATATTATGAACAGTAGCGTATTACACACATTATAAATTACCAACTTATTTACGCGATCTTTTTTTTCTTTATTTGTCATTGTACGCGAACTGATTAATACAGTGATTATCCATCCACTTTGTTCCAGTTCCAACACCCTAAGCCCATTAAATCAGTTTAAATAGCTTCAGAAGGGTTTGTATGTATGTGGTTTAAGGTATTATATAATTTTATCGAAAGAAGAAATGGAGAGCCCCACCCCCCTCCCTCCCCCAAATAACATCAAACATGACAAAAAAATGTGTTTCTCACATTTTGAACTACGTTGTATAGCATGAGCCGTTTTTTATTTTAAAAACTCATTTTTTTAAAAACGTTATATTAATTTAAATATTGCTCAGTAAAACGCATGATTTTATTATATTGTTTACCTAGTCAGATGAAGCATGCGATGCCCTTTGCATGTTGTTTCATCAAATCGTGCATGTTTGGGTGTGAATTCGTGTCTTTGATTTAATTTAAAAAACACCACCTAATAAATAAAGAGACATTTTTGTGTTGTATAAAACGGGTGACAGAAGAAATACAATAATTCAACAATTTTTTCCCTCTCGATTCCTGTTGTTAACCCTAACTAAAGCTTTTAATTCCCAACTAACCCACACTATACACTTCTCTTGTACGCATGCTTCGCTTGCCCCTTGTTTGTTAACTCCATTGTCGTCACACAGAGAAGAGTTATCTTTGGCTGCTCTCCCTTTGATCGGCTTCTGTTGCTGTTTGTAAAGTAATGTTGTGATCTCTTCCGTAACGTGAGTTTGTAATTTATACCCCGAGTACTCACCAACATTAACAGCTTTAATCTATTCGATATTGAATCCATGCATCCATGCTTTTATTCAACAGCAGTTCTTTCATAAATCCGATTTTTTTTTCTATTTTATATGTTGTTTACCATTCATTCTAACTGGGATTTTTTTTCTACTTATTGTTTTGGCATACATCCTCTCTTTTTTATTCAACTCTTTGTGATGAAATCAATGACATATTGAATAATAAGTACATTCACTTATTATTTGTTCACTATGCCATAACTCTATTTTACTATTTGTCTATCATTCCATCCATCCATTTGACTGTATGTAATATCTGTCCAGCACACAATCATTTCATTTCATCAATTATTCTATCATTCAACAAAACAGTCCAATTAACCATCAATTTAGCTAACCATTAAAACATTTTAAAAAATCCACGTGTCATTTGGCTACTAAATGTGTGCGCAGATATTTGAAATTGTGTGCACAGATATTTGAAATTGTGTGCACAGATATTTGAAATTGTGTGCACAGATATTTGAAATTGTCTGCACAGATATTGGAAATTGTGTGCACAGATTTTGAAATTGTGTGCACAGATATTTGAAATTGTGTGCACAGATATTTGAAATTGTGTGCACAGATATTGGAAATTGTGTGCACAGATTTTGAAATTGTGTGCACAGATATTTGAAATTGTGTGCACAGATATTTGAAATTGTGTGCACAGATATTTGAAACTGTGCGTGTAACCCTTTTGGTCCTGAAAGTGTTAATAAGTCAAACCACTATTTTATTTACCCTTCATTTATTCATTCATCTCTAAAACCAGCAATCATTACAACCTACTTCCTGTCAGACTAACCATCCGAATATACTTTCAATACTTAAAACTGCTGATAAAAAAAAGATCATTTTGTGTATAACAACTGCAGCAGCGGAATTGAAATTTGCCATCTCTAGATAAGAGTTTTAATAAAGATCTTGCACGTTTTAAACTTCAACTGTTTTTTTACCTTTATTTTTTTCATGAACAGGTGCCATAGGAGAACGTGGACCAAAAGGTGAGATTTTTGTTTTCACATCTTTCTTATTTAATTAGTAGATCTTACAGCTTCCAAACTGTTAGATCTTACAGCTTCCAAACTGTGAGACCTTACAGCTACCAAACTATGAGACCTTATAGCTACCAAACTGTGAGACCTTACAGCTTCCAAACTGTGAGACCTTATAGCTACCAAACTGTGAGACCTTACAGCTTCCATTACAAACTGTGAAACTTAACACTGCAGAACTGTAACAAACTATTTTGATCTAAGATTTATTTAACTAATTTTTCCATTCTTGACCGCAGAAAATTATCTCTAGACCTTGTCTCGGTAAAGAAGGAATCTCATTTTTAGACACACGACAAGCAAAACGTAACAATAAATAAATGAAATAAATATTTCAAGTATTTGAGAAATCCATACACAGTTTGTGACTGATACTTAACATACTACATAACACACGGACACCGGCTCAGTAGTGCAGTAGATTCAAATCTTAGATAAAACGGATACACAATCAGTTTTATTTTTGCGAAAGATCAAAGAAAAAAATAACATGTCAAAGCACTGAGCGTGTTTTGATCATGGTTATTAAATAATCCACGGGTTTAGATAACATGTTATATCAGTAAAAGATTACTTCTTGAATCAATGAGTGTTAAGATCATCGATTGTTTGATTGACAGGTGAACCAGGTGACCCAGGGAGAGATGGGAAGGTGGGGCCTGTGGGGCCGGCAGGTGAAAAAGGCAGTCAAGGTGTGAAAGGTGACCGAGGTACCTCAGGCACACCTGGGGTGCCAGGTTTCCCGGGGCTCGTGGGAGATAAGGGACCTCCAGGTAAGTGGTGGCAGTAGTAGGGTCACATGTGTTTGTGTGTGTGTGGGTGGGGGGGGGATGGGGCGCACCAGGTAAGTGGTGTCATTAGTAGGGTTAATTGTATTTCTGTGTGTGTGTGGGGGGGGGGCGACTTACCTCCAGGTAAGTAGTTTCATTGCCAGGGTCACATGCGTTTGTTGTGTGGGGTGCACCGGGAACGTTGTATCATAATCAGTATCACGTGAATGTTCAAGTGTATGGGTGGGGGGTGGAGGAGGAGGCACGATGTAAGTTGTTTCGTCACCACGGTCACATGAGTTCATTTAGTGCTCTTTAGTCAAGGCCAACATTAGCCTAAAAACTAAACAAATCGTTAGCATAAGGCTATATACAGCCATTCCACAGCAATCATGAGTTTTTTTAATCTGGTGATATTTATTCCAGCTATAAATATCCTTAACTTTTAATGCCAAATCAAATTGCACTTAAATTCCAATTTTTGCAGCTTATCGTTCAAAATTTCATTGCTAATCCAGGTTTGTATTAAATTATTTCATGCATGTATGTGTGTTACCATCTCATGATGTGAGCCTAACACTTCTCACCCTCTGACAGGTCCCATGGGTCCACGGGGCAACCATGGCCCAGCTGGTCCCCAGGGTGAGCCAGGATTCTGTCCAGGTACGTCTACGTTTGGTTAACCTTTGAAGTAAATGTTGAGGGAAGGCGTGTTTAAATAGTAGAGCTTACGACTACTAAGATTTTTATGCTGATATGTGTTGAAGTGGGAAGATATTAGTTGGGAGTGTAGGACAAAAGGCCGACATCCAAATGGCCGACAAGACAAAAGGCCGACATGGACAAAAGGCCGACAGCCAAAAGGCCGACAGGACATAAGGGCCGACAGCCATAAGGCAGACAGCCAAAAGGCCGACAAGTTTCTTTTAAACAAAAAACAAAACAAAAACATCGGCGGTTGTGCTGAAGTATACAAGGCCCAGATTATTTTTTTCAATGTCATTACAATGCACTGATTGAACTAACGAAATGTCAATGACACCATATATCGGGTGAAAGTATTAACATTCTAATTTAGACATAAATCTTTAACTTATTATGTCTTATATTCCAGCCGATTGTATGTCAGGACAAACCAAAGCATGTAAGTAAGCCTACGTCATAGCATATATATATATATATATATATATATATATATATATATATATATATATATATAATATGTACACAAAAAAATAAAAAAATAAAATTATATAAATATTATCTAACAATAATTTTTGCTCACGGCACAAGGGACATAACCATGAAAATACTTTGCCTCTTATTCTGTACTGCATTATTTCCCTTCTATTTTCATTTCTGAGATTTTAAATATAATTTCTCTTGTGGCCTCTTCTGTTTATCAGTTACTGAACCAACGACACCGCCGCCAACATTCCCACCTCGAGTCTCAGGTAGTGTGTACAAAACATGTGTACTAACCAGGCCTGCGGCTTGTGTACTAAACTAGCATGAGGTTGAACCAATGTGATAATTATATTGAACACAAATTGTCCAGCAATGATTAGTCCTACTAATGTTGCATAACAGTTTAGTTAGCTGTCGCAAAGATTAACTATACATTGAAATCACCGAGTTATAGTTATAATAATACACACTGGAATGAAACTTGCATGATTTGGATAAACTTCTTATCTGCTTCCTTGAATGTTCCACTAATGTATGATATGCGAACACAAGATTATACTTTACTCGAAATGTAATCATCAAAATTTAAGTTTCTCTTGTCTATGAAAAAAATCTAAACCGCATTTATTTAAGGACAGCTCTAGATGTAAGAACGCTGCTTAAAACTAAACGGCAAAAAAAAAAAATGTATGCTACCCACTGATACTATATCCACGTGAAATCTTAGGAATACGATATTTGACCATATCTCGATACATCTAATCCAGCATTGTCAACGTCATGTAAACATCTAACTCCCTTTCAGACAACCCTAGCTTTAAGTTTAAGGGGAGTAACTTAACTGACCAGCTTTGGGTACTTAAATGACTGATTGGTTGGCTTTTAAGAAAAAGTGTAGTTTAAATATTACCGTAATGCGCTGGTGACAGCATTTCGAATGAGAGTCGTTAAGTTTTGCATGAAATTCTGCTCGCCTTTGCATCTGCCACTACCCTTGACCCCCCCCCCCCCCCCCCACCCACCCCTTGCCTCCCCTACCCGTTGCCTCCCCTACCCTGTGACGCCTCTCTTTGTCTTTCTCTTTCAGACCAAACACGCTCCAGCCAATCACGTAACGCGACACATCGTGTGCTGCCGTGGACTAGCTTTTCTTACCAAGTTCTTTTCCTCATACTCATCACCATGTAACTAATCATAACTTTATTTAAAACTTACTTTTTTTTTAAATTTTTACCTTAAAAACTGCAACAACACTAAATAAAAATACTCAACATTGTAACATGTTATTATTTAAAAAAAAACAACAACATCATTATTAGAGTACCTACTAACAGTAATGCTATACCTCTCTCAATCGTTTGCACGGCTTTGCCACCATCCCTGACTTAGCTAGGCAGAACTAAGCAGAACACACTTAGAACGTAGTTAGAAGATTGCAGAGCAACATTTTACAGATACCATTTACACATACTAGCTACATATTCATGTATTTTTAGCAAGTAAAAGTTACCCCTAGAACGAGAAAAACAAAAAATTGTAGACATATTTTATGTCAAAGCTCACAGTAGTATTATGTACGAGTAGTATTATGTACAAACCCCAGACTCGATTCTACCTTGGAGAAAAATGAAACGATCGTGTCCTTTTCTTATATCTGTGGTTACACGATGATATTTTAAAATGTAAACCACTTAATGAGTTATATAATATTTAATTAGGGAGATTTTAATTGATGAGTTATATAATATTTAATTATGGAGATTTTAAGAGGAAAAAAATACGCACTATCTTACATACAATACAACGTGCATATAATTATAGTAAACTTACACCAATATTGATTTATCAAGTGTAACATAATATGTATAGAGGAGCCTACATTAAATTGCATCCATTCATCCTTTCAAACAAAGTGAATAAGATAATTAAAGTGTGATTTGTATTATTTCATTAAACATCACCAATTGCTTTCACCTTCTTGTCTCAAATAATTGAATCAACAAATAATTATTTTTTTATCTGCACACAACGTATGCCCCTTCCCCTATGCCGCATGTGTCCCACGTTCTTTGACTCCTCCCCTTTTCTACCCAGAGTGCACCATTGAAATAATCGGCAAGCCAATATCCGTGGGCGAGTCGTGGTGGGAGCAGGGCGTCTGGATGCGGGACGTGAGCACCCCCGACAAGATCTGGGCCACCTACGGCCTGGAGGGCGCGGCCCTCGTGGAGTACGACTCGTGGCAGGACTTCCAGAACGACAGCGTAGGGCGGGAGCTCCCCCTGGGTGAGGCGTCCTTTTTCGGGACAGGTCACCTGGTCCATGACGGTTTCTTCTTCTACCACTGGGCCAACCATCCTGTCATTGTGAAATACGACATCGCCGCTAGTAAGATCGCCGCGACTTTGACCATCCCTGATGTTATTTTTGAACTCAATGAGACCTTACCCAGGAAGGGTTACCTGTATCGTTCGCAGTCCGCTTTCATCGATTTCAACGTCGACGAGAACGGCTTGTGGATTATTTACGGGAACCGGAAGACGGAAAAACTGGTGGTGGCCATGTTGAACTCGGCTGACCTGGCCATCGTTGGATCTGTGGATGTAAACATCCGGCCGGGCACGTCGGGAAACGCGGTCATCGTCTGCGGGAAGTTGTACACGCTGCGTCACTTCAACCGCCGGAAGTCGTACCTGGACAAGGAGTTTGACCTCTGGCACAACCGGACGAGGGAGCTGCGGATGTTCGTGACGAGCCTCGCCGACATCGAGTCGCTGCACTACAACCACGTCGATCTGCACTTGCTGATCTGGGGGTCGGGGCAGCAGCTGCTGGCCACGTTGTTGCTGACAAACCTTGATTAGAAGGGGGTGGGGGAGTGTTACACACACTTTTTATACATAAGGGAGTGGTAAAAAATGGTTAGATGGGGGTGTTTGTGCTACTCTTAATTTAAGAGGTGGGGGGGAGGGGGGGTTGACACATCTTGGCTAAAGGGATCGGGGGAGAGTTTAATACAATATGGTTCGATGGGGATGTAAGTGTTGTGTCATACCTTGGATAAATGGTGGTGTATGTGTTACAAAGATGGTTTGAGGAGGGTGTAACTCAACTTGATTTGATGGGGTGTCTGTGGTATAACTAGGTTTTGTTGGGGTGTATGTATGACACCTTGGCTAAATGGGGGTGTAAGTAGTATAACTAGGTTAGATGGGGTGTATATGATACAGGGATGGATTGAGGGGGGTGTAACTCACCTTGATTTGATGGGGTGTATGTGGTATAACTGAGTTCCATTGGAGTGTATGTGATGCAACTTGGCTAGAGGGGAGGAGGGAGTGACACGACTTGTTAAGATAAGGGGCGTGGTCAACAGCTGTTGGTGACCTAGTTGTTGACACTTCAACGGTTTTTGTGACAATCAATTCTTCAGCATGCTTCGTACATTTTAACTTGTAAACATGTGACTAAACTTAATTAATGAGTGAAACAAAAACTACTTATTATTATGATACGTTGTTTATGTTTATACTGAATACTTTTCATAGCTGCTTTGTATTTCTCGTAGGCGAAAAACTGTGCTATGAATCTTTAGAAGAGCGTCTAGAGTGTGCATTACTTGTTTATATTAAACCACATATTTGGTAGCCTATGGTTGGAGGCCTTTGCTCTTGGTTATAGGTGACGCTGATTTTAAAATGATGTTGCTTGTTTAGTACTAGCAGCTCTAGATTATAGATTTAGAACGTGTTTTCAATTATTAACAAAATTTTAATCTCAACTTGACCTTAAAAAATCGATTTTGCAGTTATTAATAAAGAAAATATTTTTTAAAGTTAACAATAATGAAATAAACCGGCTTTACTTTTAAAATTTGTTTGGAAAAAAAATCTTAGCGTAAGAAAAAGAATTCTCTGCATGACACAATGACTTCTATTTTGTGTGGATTTATGGAGTTTTCACGAGCGACAACAAATAGAAAGATTATACACTAACTTTTGAAAATTGTCTCCAATTGTAAATCCTCACCAATATGATAGAAAAGATGCCTAGATGTCTTTAAGCACATTTAAATTGAAATATTAAAGAGTTTTTTTTTAAATATAGAAATTAAAAACCAGCAAGAAAATGTTTGCAATTGTTATCAAAATTAAAAAACCCATTATTGTATTTTCAATTTTTCTTAGTCGAAACCGCAAGATTTCTTAAAATGTTTTTATAAAGTTTATTAAAATCTAAATAAAAATTCTAGTATTTTAGCAAAGTATTTATATCAACTAAGTCAATATATCTAGCTAGTGTTGTCTATGGTTTACACTTGTTCCTTTAGACTCTTTGATTGATCTGTGATTAAGTTGCAAGCCTGTTTGAACCTTGTACACTTTACTGTGATTGATGTATCAGGACTCAATCGTCTGATTTGAACCTCTAACTATATCTACTGGTGTAAAATCAATACCACTTTATTGTTGCGATTTATAACAATATTTGTTAAGGTACCACACTGTATAATGAGTGAGATGTGCTCTATATTTAAGTCACCGTGTTGTTAGTCAGATATTTAACAACTTCTCTCTTTCCTTTTTGAAAGTGTCTGTAATATGTTTATTTAAAAGTATGGGATGAGCTATGTATAGATCATAATCTCATTGAATTTTTAAAAATAGCCTAACAAACTATTTTAATTTAAGGAATTCGGCTAAGGAAAACTAGTATAACCATGAAACAATATATGTATATTGATATGTATAATATGTGCTACTTCCTGTTTACTATAAACTTCTTGAGGTAATAACAAATTCTATATATACATATACATATATATATATATATATATATATATATATATATATATATATATATATATATATATATATTTGTATGTATGATGCATGATCTCTATTGAAGTCGTTGCCCTGTATAGGCCCTACTGCAGCGAATAACAAATAAATGACATTGTTATTTGGCAATTTCTAATTTAAACTCAATTTACTATTTCATTAATTTGTAAAATGTTAGTGTATAGCATATGAAAGCCAATTGCTACGCATCATTTAGTCCATATTTATTACATATAGAATTTTAAGCCTTATTGTGTATATTTGTATCTCGTCGATTTGACCTCAACTATTTATGTTGTAAATACGAATGTGTATGCGTGTGGATGTATTAGTAACATTCTTTAACAAGAAATTAGATTCAGATGTATTTTAAAGATTAGCTCTGTAGAATATTTAGAATTCTGAGAGGATTACACCGTCAGCTGGTATACTATATTGATCTTTACATGTTTTTTTCTTCCCTCTAATAAACTTTATTTTTTACGACAGGATATTGTATTATAATTCACCGCCATCTTTTCATTTACAAATAGGCTTCAGCTTAACCAAAAAAAATTGAAATAAAAAACGTTTAATATAATATTAATTATAAATTTGTATTTAATAAATTTATTAGTGTGTTAATGATGTACATTGTTTATTGTGGTTTTATATTTTTTTAAGTAAAGAAATTTCACATCACCAGTTAATTAAAAGTAAAAACTCTTAAAACATTAAATAAACTTAAAACGATATTTAAAAATAAAACTCCGCATTGTTATTTCAAAATACAGACTATTAAACAAAGAACAAAAAATTAAACATACAATTTTACCAAAGTGTAAGTTTGCTTTTATTTTTACAGCTAGCTTTACATTACAAATTTAAATAGTTTCTATTGGGTTATATTTTGAAGTTTGCCATTCACACCGTTAGCTCTACATCCAGTTTTGGCAACTTGCTACACTAGCTTTAGACCTACAGGTAGTTAGCTATAACCCAGTTTTGGCAACTTGCTACACTAGCTTTACACCTACAGGTAGTTAGCTATAACCCAGTTTTGGCAACTTGCTACACTAGCTTTACACCTACAGGTAGTTAGCTATTTGGTAACTTGCTACACTAGCTTTACACCTACAGGTAGTTAGCTATAACCCAGTTTTGGTAACTTGCTACACTAGCTTTACACCTACAGGTAGTTAGCTATAACCCAGTTTTGGTAACTTGCTAAACTAGCTTTACACCCACAGGTAGTTTGTACGCTGCATGCATTTTCCTGCAATCCAGTATGCACCTTGAAACCAGATCATTGCCCACTTAGTATAATAATCCCCATATTGCATTACAACTATTGTAATATGTATACAACCTCCCTTCCCTTTCCCGATTATGATATTTTAATAATGAATATTTTAATAGTGATAGTACTTTAATATTAAATTTAGACTTCAAAAATATTTAATAGATAAATAGAATTATTGTTTATTATTGTCTTGGCCGTGTATTAAAAATACCATCTGAAATCCATTACACATTTTAAAAATATAAATTAGATATAGGCTTATATAATCAGGCTAACGAAGTTTAGTGGCTATACTTCATAGATTGATAAGGCGACTAAGTCTTTAAATTAACACTATCTGTTTGTAACGTTACATCTAGATGTGTTGTTTACTTATAATATATCAATTAAACGACGGAAAGCTTACCATTAACTCTGTAACGTTACATCTAGATGTATTGTTTACTTATAATATCTCAATTAGACGACGGAAAGCTTAAAGCTTACCATTAACTCTGTAACGTTACATCTAGATGTATTGTTTACTTATAATATCTCAATTAGACGACGGAAAGCTTGTCATTAACTCTGTAACGTTACATCTAGATGTGTTGTTTACTTATAATATCTCAATTAGACGACGGAAAGCTTACCATTAACTCTGTAACGTTACATCTAGATGTATTGTTTACTTATAATATCTCAATTAGACGACGGAAAGCTTACCATTAACTATGTAACGTTACATCTAGATGTGTTGTTTACTTATAATATCTCAATTAGACGACAGAAAGCTTACCATTAACTATGTAACGTTACATCTAGATGTATTGTTTACTTATAATATCTCACTTGATTAGACGACAGAAAGCTTGCCATTAACTATGTAACGTTACATCTAGATGTGTTGTTTACTTATGATATCTCAATTAGACGACAGAAAGCTTACCATTAACTATGTAACGTTACATCTAGATGTGTTGTTTACTTATAATATCTCAATTAGACGACAGAAAGCTTACCATTAACTCTGTAACGTTACATCTAGATGTGTAGTTTACTTATAATATCTAAATTAGACGACAGAAATCCTACCATTAACTCCCTCTGTTTGTAACGTTACATCCAGAATGCAGCATTGAAAACCTCGGCAAGCCAGTCGGAGCTGACGACGGGAACAATCCCGCCATCGGGTCATGGATGACCGACTCCAAGTCCGGCTCCCCGAGGAAAGTCTGGGTCACCAAAGGTCTGGAAGGCAACAAGGTGTACGAGTTCGCCTCCTACAACAGTTTGAAGTCCGGCAAATATCAGCGAGAAATTGACCTGGGCGGCACGCCCTATTTCGGTACTGGTCATGTTGTCCACGCAGGGCATTTATACTACCATTGGTCAAACCAGCCTAAGATCGTCCGGTATAATCTAGCCCTAGGTGAAGCGACAACAGTGAGGAATTTAACGAACTTTGTGTTCAAACCAAGCAGCAATAAAACAAGTTATTTATACACAACCGAGACGACGTTCGTCGATTTCAACTTCGACGAGAACGGTCTTTGGGCCATCTACGGCAACGACCGCGGGAAGATGGTGGTGTCGCTGCTCAACCACGAGACCCTCGACGTCATCAAGTCTGTGGAGCTCACCACGGGCGTCGGGACCAGAGGCGAGGCCTTCGTCGCCTGCGGCAGGCTGTACACCATCCGGCACCACAGTCGCCTGAAGACGATGCTGGAGGAGGAGCTGGACCTGTGGCACAACACCACCGGCAGGTGGAGCCACACGTTCGTCAACCCCAACGCCGCCACCGTCATGCTCAGCTACGACTACAACAACCGGCACATCCTCCAGTGGGACGCCGGCCACATGCTTCGATCACCGTTTTTGTTTAAAAGTTAAGGACAGAGAAAAAACTGGACCTAATACGTACTATATATATATATATATATATATATTATATATATATATATATATATATATATATATATATATATATATATATATATATATATATATATATATATATATATATATATATATATATATATATATATATATATATATATATATATATATATATATATATATATATATATATATATATATATATATATATATATATATATATATATATATATATATATATATATATATATATATATATATATATATATATATATATATATATATATATATATATATATATATATATATATATATATATATATATATATATATATATATATATATATATATATATATATATATATATATATATATATATATATATATATATATATATATATATATATATATATATATATATATATATATATATATATATATATATATATATTAAAAATATTATTAATGAAATATATCAAATTAAAAATAAATGTGGCCTTGACTCATGGTATATTCAATGATATCTCGCGAGAAGACCACTTGAGTCTATACACCTGCTTAAAAGTAGACCAATTTCTGCACAATCTACTTGTACAGTATAGTTCAGATCCAAATTTCGTGTGGGAAAAATTAAATGGAAGAAACATTTAAAGACATTGTAAGTTTATACTTTTAAATATAGCAGAAATTACTTTTTAATATCCCTCAACCTTATCTTTAAATCCGATGTGGTAATTATCTCAGCCGTTAATCACATTTATACAATCTGAATATATACGTAGACTTACGAACTTTTTATTTTATTTTCCCAATAACATGAGCTTGGCTAACTCAAATATTTTAATCCCTGCTTATCAGCCAAGGAAAAAGAAAATAATTTAGTTGAGGGATAGACCTAACAAATTTTGTCCCTTAATAATAAAAATAATGTACAATAACATTTCTTTAGCAGACTCAAACAAACCAGAGTCAAAAGTGTTACGGGTCAGTTGTAGGTTAGATAGAAATAGGTTAGAATAATCTAGAATTAGGGGAGAGTGCGTATGTGAGTTGGGTTTACCTTAGAGTATTGTTAACCCCGGTGTGTTTATGTATTGTTATCCCAAGGTCGAATGCGGTATAAAAGTTGGAGTGAATGGTTGTCAAGGTTAGTTGGTAGTGGTTAGGGCGAGGGCTACTCTGTTATGTGAAGAATTGAGTCCAAAAAAATTATACTATACGAGCCGACCCGCGGCGTATCACACGCCGCTATTTAGTTTTATTTTCTACTTTTCAGTAATTCATAATTTGTGAATTCGACAGTACCATTGCTGTCACTGAAAAGATTTCCTTTAAAACACTAAAACCCTCCTTTCCCCCAACCCCACCCCCCACCCCGTGAAAGCAGCCTCCTCTTAGTTTCACCCCCCCCCCCCCCCGCCCCTAAGTTTACAATAGTTTCAAACTACATTATCTGCCCCTAATAGGCGTCACTAAACCCGGCTCTACGATAGTAAACATTTAGCGTGAACCACAGCTCACCAGACCATGTGGGGTGAGGGTGGTTGCGATACGCATAGTGAGGAAGAGATGGGACTGCTAAGCGCGCTTACAGCTTGTTTTCTAACGTCTCCAAGTAGAGAATTATATATATAGACTAGCGTACCCGTCCCCCGCGCGTTGCCGCGGGGATAGAAGAAAGTTTGACGAAATATATTAGAAGGATTACATCAACGCGTTACCAATCATATGTTCTTAGACGCGTGACCGTCTTTTCTAAAAGTGAGTTATTTAAATGTAAACAATGCCTGCGCTTGGATCATAAATAGCGGGACACGGGTTTACCTACACTACCGCATGAAAACATTGAGTGCACATTAATCACTCACCGAAATAATATGGTAGAACACACTTCGGTGACCGCCCATGTGTCAGAGACGTAGAGGGGCGCCCTCATGGCCCCCACCCCCCGATTACGCTACCGCAACGGCGCGGCGTACGACCCCTGGCCCCTTAAAACTAACAGGCGCCATCGTGCCAAATAGTATCCTGTTAATACTGATGCCGATTTCGTCATTCGCTAAAGTGACACAAATGAACAGGATTTTTTCTTTAACACGTAAAAAAGTATTTGACGTGTTTTAAACATCAATGTGACTGATGCAATACGCTAGCGTTACTAATGGTCTATTATTAGATGCTCAATCTCAATTTCTGACTGGATTTTCTAATAAAAGATGCTTATTGCATCATTCGCAAAGTGACGAAACTCTACAGTAGGCTCCTCATATTCAAAAAGTTTTTTTTTCATCTTTTGCAAGATGACGAAACTGTACAGAAGGATTTCCTCGCGTTACAAAGTTATTTTTAGAAGCATGTTGTAGTTTTACCGCTGAATATAGTAGTACCCCTTACTCGCTATGCAGGACGCTCGATTAACGGATGCCAAGTGCCAACACAGTCGCTCTAAAACTCTGGGCGCCAAACCGTGTATTGACGAAAGTTGTACCTTATATGGCGCCGCCCATAAGAAACTTTAGTTTTCTTTTTCGCAGAAATATTCTCGGGGGTATTCTCATCTACTCTCTAAAGTTTCATGGCACTCGGATGAACCGCATCCGAGTTTTATTTTTTATATACCGTGTATAGAGAAAAATATCGCTCTCCCCCCCCCCCCCCCCCCCCCGGGGAGCCGCCCTTGCAATAATAAAAAAAATATAGTTTTTTGCGAATTTAAAAAAGAATTTTTTTTTTTACTTTTATTTTATATACCGTATATAGAAAAAAACAAATCGCGTGAATTTGAAATATTTTTTTTCATAGAAACCTCCCCAGGAATATTCTTAACAACTTCCCAAAGTTTGATGGCGATCGTGTGAACGATGTCACTGTAATTCACTTTTATTATTTTTTTATACCGTATATAGAGAAAAATTGCACCATCCCGTGGTGCCGCCCTTGCTAAATTAATTTTTTTTTTGCAGAACCCTTCATTAGAGTGTTCTAATGAACTCACCAAAGTTTCATGCTTATTGGATTAACGGTGTCAGACCAAAATCGAGTTGTATTTTTATATACCGTACATAGAGAAAAATCGCACCCTCCCGTGGCGCCGCCCTTGCGATATAAAAAATGATTTTTTTACAGAACCCTTCCCTGAATTGTTCTAATCAACTCCCCCAAAGTCTCATGGCTATCGGATACCGGTGTCACACCAAAATCGACTTATTTTTATAAACCGTATATAGAGAAAAATCGCACCCTCCCGTGGCGCCGCCCTTGCGAAATTAAAAATGATTGTTTACAGAACCCTTCCCTAGAGTTTTATAATGAACTCCGCAAAGTCTCATGCCTATCGGATAAACGGTGTCACTGCAATTCACTTTTATTATTTTTTCACATACCGTAAATAGAGAAAAATCGCACCCTCCCGTGGCGCCGCCCTTGCGAAATTAAAAATTATTTTTTTACAGAACCCTTCCCTAGAGTGGTATAATGAACTCCCCAAAGTCTCATGGCTATCGGCTGAACAGTGTGAAATCAAAATAGACTTTTATTTTTATATACCGTATATAGAGAAAAACAAATCGCCCCCAGCACCATTCGCAAAGTGACGAAACTCTACAGTAGGCTCCTCATATTTGAAATTTTTTTTTCGCAGAAACCTCCCAAGGAATATTCTCAACAACTTCCCAAAGTTTGACGGCGATGTGATAAGAGGTGTGGTAATGCATAAAAGACACACAGACACACACACACACACATACATTGCTTTTTATATATATATATATATAGATAGATAGATGTGTCACGAATCGTTGTTGAGTTGAATCGAACCCGGACGTAACAAAAAGTACTTACATAAATTAATTCAAAACCCATCGTTATAAATGTTCTTATATATGGCGCTGTGTGCCGTAAATTTATAATTGTAGCCAATGGCTGGATGAACTAGAAAAAGTTCGAAAAGTCCCATTCTTAAAATTATAATTATAAAGTAAGTATAAAATTACTTGGGCCCATATACATATGTACATGCAGGGGCGTAGCGAGGGGGGGGCGGGGGGTGCGGACCGCACCGGGTGACACCATTTAGGGGGGTGACACCAAGGCAAAAAATAGCAAAATATATAGAGAAAAACTCGAGGGGGGGGGGTGCAAATCGAAAGTTTGAGGGGGTGGTGCAAATCGAAAACTCGAGGGGGGGGGGGGGGGGGGGGTGCAAATCGAAAACTCGAGGGGGGGGGGGTGCAAATCGAAAATTTGAAAGTTTGTCCCTGGGAAGGGTCTCTATGCCTCTGGGGGGGTGACACCATTAAGTGCCGCACCGGGTGACACCCGACCTCGCTACGCCACTGTGTACATGTGTGAGTGTTAATATATATATATATATATATATATATATATATATATATATATATATATATATATATATATGTGTGTGTGTGTGTGTGTGTGTGTGTTTGCGTCAATGTGTCTGTGTGAGTGTATACGTGTGAGTGATACAAAAAATCAATCTACCTTGATTTGAAATTAGCTGAATCTGTAATACATTTCTAGTTAATCTACTATATAAAAATGAAGCCACAACAAATCGTAGTAATCTGAGGGCCAGAGGCGTATCCAGGTTTTCGGTGTAGGGGGAGCGAAAATAGCAAAAAAAGGCGCCGAATTAATAATATCTTCTATATAAGTATATATATATATATATATATATATATATATATATATATATATATATATATATATATATATATATATATATATAACAACTAACAACAAACCCAACCACAACCACAAACACCAATACAAACACAAAGAAAAAACAAACAAAAAAGCAAACGAAAACAAAAAACTAACAACAAACCCAACCACAAACCCCAATACCAACAAAAAAAAAAAAAAAACAACGAAAAAGCAAACGAAAACAAACCAAATCCAAACCAAAAACACAAATACAAACCCAAACAAAAAAACACAAACAAAAACGAAAAAAGAAAGAACAAAAACGAACCAAATCAAAACGCAACCACTAACGCA